ATAATTACTATGATCATTTAACACATTAAAAGAATGTGAAACTGCAATGAGAGAAACAAGAGGATCATTTCTCTTACCATTTTACACACAGCCATGAAGAAAAATGAGGTAAGACACATTGTGTAATAAAAATTCTACATCTGTAATTAGGGCTGGATATCATTAAGAAGTTGTTGATACGATGCATACCTCGATACATAGGCCACGATACAGTACGCTTTTTGATACAGTGCACTTTCAATACTTTCGATACGATATAATTCAAATTGATTCACTACAGTTGAGTGAAAAACAAAGGCTAAATCATGGCTGTGATACTAAATCCACCAAGTCTGTGTAAAGTTAATATGAAAAACACTCATTTTACTCAAAACAATGAAAATGTCAACACAACTGTAGTTCTTACATGAAATAATTTAGTAAAATATACCTAAATATGCTCTTGATGATATATCAATACAGTATTGATATCGTGGGCTGCTATATCAAATTAAATGATACAATATATTGATATTTCAATATTTTTGCACACCTCTATCTGTAATGAACTGCTGCTTCATTTTCTTCTGAAGCTACTTTTTGCGACTTAAAATTTTCAGTGAACATGGCCTATTTGTCTTGTTTTATAAAGAACAGATGGAAGCTTCTCCAAACACTTGACAGCAGAGGAACAGAGAGCAGATAAGACAGAGCTACCTCAAGACTTCCTCTTATCCTCTCCATCAATCACCTTTAGAGGTTTGCTAATGTTTTTTTTTCCTTTTTTCTTCTGGGGCCCGGGCTGCCGCCACAAAGCAAACTCACTCAGACTGGCGTGGTGTTGTGTTCACAGTGTGATCGGGTTCAGAAACATTTAAATATGATAGCTCACACCAGAGGGATGCTAATGTCAAGCCCGCTCCAATTACCCCAGAAGGCTTGTGAATGCTTGCTGCTGAAGGCTTGGGTATGTAAATGAAGATATCTGCAAGGTCAGGTGCAAAAAGTAGTGTACATTCTTGTTTAAGAGTCAGAGCAGAGGCAGTCCATCCTGGATTTGGCAGTCTTGAGGATCGTGTTTCTTCAGTGCGCAACAGAATGGGTCACACAGTTCATTAGACTGCAGCAGGGAAGGACAGGGGGCCTCTCTGTGCATGCTGATGGTGCGGCCCGGGCTCTGACCTCGTTAAAAACATTCTTACCTCTATTTGCACATATCGCACCAGTCACAAAGTCACCATAGGGCACCTCTGCTGAGTGGGAGAAACTGCAACACTATTCTTCCCACACATGATATGCGTCTTAACCACCTGTAGTACAAGGCAGATCTTGAAATAATCAGTGCAAGAGAGTAAAGCCAATAAGCGCAATGGGACCACATTACTGAACTATAGCAGCTGATTGCCACTGGTGCAGCTGGAGACGGTGGAGGTTGGAATGAATAGCTGTAACGCTGCCCAAAAGTGACTTCTTATGGAGCTTTCAGGCAGTAAAGCACACTACAGTCTATCAGCCATTACTATCAACAGCTTCACTCCTGAGACAGAGAGCAGCAGTTTCACACCAGTCATGTTTGATTGTTGTTGGTGAGGACAGAGTGCAAGATTACAAACTCAGTGGGGTGAGGGGTGATGAAAATCAAACTGCATTCTCAAAACACTGAATATAACTATTGAAGTAAGTATTTGTATACAGTATGGGAGCTCATACGAAACACGTGTTTCATATTTAATTGGATGGTGAAGAAGCTTGCTCATGATTATGTTGGGTTTAAGCAAAGGCAGTGCTTTGATAAAAGTATGAAAGATCCTTTTTTTACTTGTGTTAATCTGTTATACTGGCCAGCTAACAGCTCTAGAGAAAAGCTCTGCGCACTTCACAGCTGCAGCTGTGGAGTTATGACTGTGAGGAGATGGCTTTTGTGGACACCAACTGGGCGATACATAAACCACACTAGCTATCTGCAAATTTTGCCACAGTTGCAAAGGAAAAAAAAGAGTGTGCTATTCTGAAGTAGTCATCATAAATGAAGCAGTAGCGTGTGTCTGCATAATGAAAATAGTTTCATTCAGAAAAGTTACATTTAAATCACCTGTACCTAACAATAAGCAAAGCCTTTAATATCTGACTATTATCTCAGTTTAGAGGAACAAGGCTACTTCCGCATTTGAACTTCAAAAGTCTCTGTGAAGCCATTAAAAGTTGTGAAACTCTCCATTTGCCAGTGAAGGTCACTGACATGTTCAGAGATGATTACAGGACATCTGCCCTTTGTCCTGAGGCACGTGCAAACAGAAATCAGCTCCCAACAGTCACAAAGTGTGTTCCTGGAGCTTTATAGAACACTGTCATTATAGGCCCAGTATTGTCAGCAGCCACATCAATAACTCCTGCCTGCATAAAAAGACAACAAGAAGGATCCAAATCGAACTTCAAAGTTGACTCGAAGAGTCTGTTGGGGAGTGAGTAATTGGCAAACATGCACATGTCCTGGAGCGCGTGTCCATCTAAACTACAGACTGAGATGAAAGCTGGAGACAGACCCGCACGGAGCTTTAAGTGTGATTCATTTAGCTGAGAGCACCGTGCTTCATCCCATGCTCCAAATGAAATACATCAAACAGCGCGGCACAGACAGCTAATTAGTACTCATTAGAATAAGAGGCAGTCCCCAACTAAACAATCACATTAATCAAAGGTTAACTGCTTAGATCAAACAGGAATGTGTGACAACCACTCCACTGATGTCATGTGCTCCCATTTACCAAATCGAGCTGGCTGCTGGGCTGTTGCCAGAGCAGCGTGGTCGGATGCATGCGCTGCACCGGGCTTTTCCTGCCGCTCTCTTCTTATGTGAGGAACCGCTCAGGAAGAACGGGGGAGGGGAGCTGTGCAATTAAGAGCGCTCTCACTGCTTTAGACGCTCAACTGTCAGAGCAACCACATGTGAGCTACAGCAATATGCCATATGACTAATGAGAATAAAGGAGGACAAATCTTGATGATTCACAATACAATGATACAAGTTCTACAAGTTAGAGCCTGACTACACATGCAAATAATGCACCATTTCTTCTGCATGCAATGGTCTGTTGGCCATAAGTAAATGTCCCGTATACTGACATGGTTGAAGTTGTAGTGTTGATAACAGTAAGCATTAAGAGCAAAAAGCCTAAAAAATAGACTCATTATGTAAAAGTACATTAAAGAAGCTCTATTATGCTTGTGTCTGCTATATAGTTATAATACGACACCCTTTGATCATTATAAATTTGCTAATTTGAAATCATCTTCATGTAAAATGGCTTAATAAAAGAAACAATTCTGCTGACTTTCATGTTAGAAAACTGCAGTGCCCAATGGGAGCTGACATCACCACTAACGTCATCACAACAAAGAGTCATGAAGATGTCGACATCTCTGATAGCTGCATAACACACGAGTGGTAGATTTTTTTCCCTATTTGTACCAAAATGACAACACAACGCTGCCAAATCCCATGTATCACAGACTAAGAAAATAAATATTTATGACAGCACAAGAATAAAGTAATTTGTTTTCCCAATTTTAGACTATTCTGAGCCGCTATACTGTCCGCTATTAATGGGAAACACTGATATTACACTTTGTTTCTTCTATTTTCATAGATAATGTTCAAAAACATTGTGAAAAGCTCAAAGACAGGCAATAAGTGACATTCCAATTGAATTTTTTACAAACACTGTGTTAATGAAATCTTTCCAGAAATCTGTGCACTGACACTGACGACATCAAAAGGGCATCACTCACTGCGATGTCTTGCCTGCGCTAAAGTGCATGTAAACATACCGACAGAGTCCTGACTCCCTGCGGTGGAGCGGAGGTGTCAGCGCTAGACGTTGTGAAGAAAGTGGCAGCAGGAAAGGTTAGAGTGAAGGGGACTCCACCACCACAGAGCCACAAGTGAGTCATTCATCTCTCCATCTTGTCACGTAGCTGATGACATATAAACGCGCTACTTATCAGCAAAAACATTCCCCAGAACAAGAGAGGAGGAGGAGGAGGGGGCAGCGTACAGGCACAACTAAAGGGAATCCCGTCGTGATATTAACAGCCACTTCATCAGTTTCCCAGAAGAAGCTGCTTTCTGCTGACTAACTAACTGCATTCTCTGACATAGAAACCAGTTCCTATAAATGCTGGTGAGAGATTTTTGTAATACTGGAATTCTCAAAGTGAAAGTATTCTTCGAATTACAGAACAGAACACTACGAGCTGTTCAGATTAATTATTGACACTGACAGCAATGAACGTTACAAAACACAAAACTGAAGCCAAGTCATAATATAACAGGTTTAATGTAATGCAATTTATAAAACTTGTATTTCAAGTGTAATCTAAGGAAGTTGATAAAACAATGGCATCCAAATGACTACAGTCTGTTTCTACTACTAATAAAGTTTTTTTTTTTATATTCTTATATAAATCTTGCACTAAAATGCAAACTATTTCAAACATTTCATCTGTTACATAAACTAACTTGAAGTGCAAAGTACACAGTGCCAACACTCTGTCGTCTGTACTCGGAAGGCAGCACACTCCGACAGGTAGGTGACGTATGCCTTCACCCGGGTTGACTTCATGGGAACGCAATAAAAGTGTGGCTCTGCTGATGCACCGACGCTGTGCAGAGTGCAGACATATGAAGTACAGTCCCTCTAGCCCACCCCTCCTCCCCCCTTTCTCCTCTGGATAATGTAGCAGACAGCCCACCTAGACGAAAGCACCCAAATGCCAGTCGCATAAAAGATGGCAAACTCGAGCTAACCCACAGCAGCAGCCGGGGAGACGGAGTGCTCATCAACAAGTCCCTGCATTCAGCCCCAGACAAACAGGCTGTCGATCAAAGTTGTCACCGCCACGAATTGCGATGCAACGCTGCTGCAACCAAACAACCAAGCCAAGCCAGAAAGAGAAGAGGAGACGCTCAGACGAGAGAAGAGGGAGGCAGAGAGACAGAGGAGAGACAGAGGGGCAGTTACCTTGTGGATGTGCCCTTCCTCACATCGCAGATGCTGCATTTAAACGCCTCGGCTGTGTTCCTGAAGGTGCACACGCTACAGTCCCAGTATCCGTCGTCAGCCGCCTGTTTGGCTTGTCTTTTTGGCCTTAGGAAAAAAGACAGATGTTAAGGTCAAGTTTTCAATACCACTGATCATCAATTAACAAGGATTAGATTCAGACACAAGGCGACGCTTAAATGAACACAAGTGCTTTTCCTACACTGTCTACTGGTGTTGTCATTATTAAAAATTGAAGTCCCGCAAAGTACAGTCCCTTGGTCAATAAATGCTCACACACAGAGGAGAAGCGGGCGACAATCCACACTGTCCAATTGTATCGCCTGCTAAGGCTAGCAGCCAGGCAGAGCGGGGCTAAAATTTTCGGCATCGAAGCTTAGCATGTCGGCTAACTAAACCAATATCAAACGGTGTCCATTTCGACAATGTCCCTCCAAAAGGCTTCGTGGAGACGGAAGAGCGTTTCAGAGAATGCCAGACGTCTCCTCTGAAACATTTCCCTTTGTCTGTGAAGTGACTGGGCTGTAGGGAGCGAGAAGCCGCCATAGTGACTGCACTATTCTAGCTTAGCTCTGGTATAACGAATGAAAAGCGCTATGTGAGCGCAACGTCTCCAAATACCGAGTCAATAACGGCACAAACGGGCGTCCATCGACAGCGATAGGTCCCTTTACCTGGTAGGGCTCTTTTTGTCGCCCATGGTGAAGACTAGTCCACAGGAATAAGAAGAAAAGGGGGCCTCCTTTAATTGTCAGTGAATATAGTAGGATCCAGATCGAGCCGCTGCTGAAGCTGTTGGCAGACAGGCTCCACTCAGCGCTGGCTTCGAGGCACAGCGACTGACTGCACTGCACCACGTGCCGCCGCTCCACCAATCAGAGCGCGCATGGGTTTAAAAGTCTGGATGGATATTTGGGTGCTATTTTAATATCAGCGAGAGGTATTTGACAGACCTCGTGTCACCCCACGCATTCTTTCATACAGAATACACGGTTTTCCGCGATGCAGCCATATATAAGAAACCGAAACAAAGAGTTACAGAGAAAGACACAAGCCTGTAGCCTACAGCAGCATCACTCTGATATACACTTTTGGCTTTAAAGGACTAGGAAAATGTGCTAATAGTCTAAATTATAATTTCAGAAGCATACCCATTTCAGTTAAATGTTTTGAGAGGGGAAGAGTGAGAGAAAAATAAGAAAAAGTTTATTTACTATGGCATGGATTCACTGTTGCACCTGTAGGGCAGGTCTTGTTATTTCTATAGGCTACCCTTGCAGGACATTTCTTGTTCACCAGTCTTTAAACTTAGTCGACGAAATTCACTGATGGGGATGCAAAGAAAGCCTTCCATGTGTCAGGTGGCATTTCAGTCCAAAAAACAAACTGACAAATACAAAAAAACATATAAGACCTTTTGGCCTTCAATTTCTTAAAAATAAAAAAAATAATGTTTATTGTAGGTTATGAAAAGAAACTGGTATTCAGTAGGCTACATGTGTACTGTCACATTCAAATGTCTATTCAAATATGTATCCATATAAACAAACAAGCATGATCTAGGCTACCTGCATGTACATGCATGCACACATATATACACAAATAGGAAGATACATTATTACGCACAAATACACTTCACTGTCATAATTACAAGCATTGTATTGGAATTTGATAGATTGACCGGCGTGCCTCCTCTGTGCCCAGGACACAGCGCTCAGTGGGGCAGACTGAGTGTGAATCACGCTGGCTCATTAGGCACTCCCCATGGCTCAGGGTCCTATTGTGACTCCCATGCACTCTCTTCAGAATGATAATCCGTGCCTCCACCCAGTCATTACCTCTGCTTAGGCCAATGCAAGACACTCTAATTGAGCCTGATCGCGATGGCCCACTGATGTATCCCATGTCAAAACAACATTAAGCCTCCTCTCAATTCCCCTGTGATTGTTTCCTGCCTATTTTAATGTCTTTGCAAAGTTATACCTCACTTACATAATATCCAGTGTGAAGCGATGAGAGCTCATTTATATTCATCAACTGGTTCTGAAAATTCTTAGAGCTACACATGTTTTAGAAAGAGTGCAAAATGTATTCAGACTGGTTAAACCTCTGATCGAAGCGAATTTAAGCATTCTAATCTACAAGCAAAATTTGATATCAGATTCCCTTTCTGTACCCTTGAGCAAGGCACTTAGACAGATTTGTAAAATAAACAGTTATCCTTCATTTATTATTTATAAAAGGCATGCAAACTGTATGGTGGAAAAGCATTGGAGAAGCAAGATGTTCCTTTAATTTTTGCATATTAAAACTTTCACAAACTTCAGTGTCTGTTTCGCAGATATAGAAGCCACTCAGAACTTGACTGCAATCTTTGACCCAATCAACACATCTGAACTTGTTACTGAATTCCAGTATAAGTTGAGACTGCTGAGTGCCACAGAGGGGAGTACAGTGACCTGGAGTAGTGTGATGTTTGGAGAAATAACACAGTTTCGAGATGTCATGAGAAGTTATTGTATTGGCTGCAACGGAGACAAAAGTTTATCCAAGTCTACATTATCATCACAGTGTAAAATGATATGAGCTGTTCCGTCTGCAGGGAGCTTTATCTTTGCCACAAATACTGGATAAACTGTAAAAACGTTGGTGCCGAAAGGGAGTTCTATTCCGGATGTCAACAGCATCCACACTTTGCATCGGTTCCAAGTGGAGAGGGTGAGTGACGAGACATGGCTGCTATTTTGCATCAGTGGGCCCTGAGACGAGTTGGTTACAATTAATGTGTTTCCTGTTTATAGACGCCAATCTGAGGACTTTTAACAATACCAAACCAAATGTTCACAATTTGTTTTGAACTTTAAAGGTGAAGGGTCTGCCACTTGATTGTCTCCATGGAGATGTTATTGTTTTGCCTGGAATATCTTGGTACAGCATTAAACATCGCCATCTTAGATTTACTCAATAACATGGGTTTTTACTCACCTAAAAACTGGCATTCGTACTGTGAGTGAACTTGTCTCTCCACGTATCTGACATCTAACTTGGCCCTGTGGTGTTGCCTGCTGTCTCTATAGAGATAAAATAAACGTAATGCCATACTGTGGAACATTCCAGGCAATATCACCGTGGAAAGAAGCTGGTGGTGTACCCTCCATCAGAAAAGATAAGCAGCGCACCTTTAATTCACACAAAACTCAGTGAAGTGTCTTGCTCAAGAACTCCTACAAATCCAAATCCCAAATCATCCAAATTCCGATAATAACAATAAGCTTACAAGAGCTGATCTGATTGCTATTATTGTCACGGATAATCTCCCAAAGCACTTTCAAAGCAGGGCTATCGAGACATTAAACCTCTCCATTTGATTGTAAGTTGTTCAAGAGCCTCATACTGTACTTGTATCGGAAATCCATGAGCGATTCAGCTGAAAAGCAAACATGAGTGTGAAGGGGGAGTAGAAGGGCTGTTGTGAGCCTATTTTTGAAAGTATACCACTTGAGAAACCAAAAGTCAATTAATCTTCCCGAAAAGAGCTGGAGTTGTGCTGTTAAATTGCATACATGTTAAAGCCATAGTGTGTATCTTTTTAGCCCAAAAAGTAAACTAAAATAAAAGCATTTTGGTTGTGTTTATTGTAAAAACTTAAAAAACACGTGTCTCCACAAAACTGACTCTTATTTGTTTCCATGTTAACAAATATTGTTCTGTTTGGCTGTTTGGGTCTTCCACAGTATAGCATAAAACTATTAATGTATGACAAGTTTAATGCTTTTAACATTCTGTTTGTACAGGATCATGCAGGTTACCTTCCACCTCCAGGAAGTTACACACTGTAGCTTTAATATAGAGCTGAATCACTATTTTCATGATTCAAACTGCAGTGGGAGTGTGGTCACGACTAACTTCATGTGGAGGAGCGAGATTCTGACGTGTCCCACTCGGTGACAAAGGCAGCAGCGTCACTGTGGGGGCAAAAATAAACAGCGTAATTAGTAAGCACGAGACAGAAGCTAGAGCAAGCATGGACCCGGTGGCGTTCCAATTCAGATTCAGCTCCAAATGATGACTGTAAACGGTTGACAATTTTATAAGTGCTGGCATATTGATTGGGGAGTGCGGTCGGGGACTTGAGAGATGATTAATGGTAAGTCATTTTTGTGCAGGTGGATAGGAGCCAGATTGCGCGTGTACTGGGATGTCTCCACTGCCTTTTTAACACACAAATCTCCTGACACTGCTCGCTGTCGCCTCATCTCCCCACAGGCTGTTTGGTCTCCGCATTTTGATGTGTTTTCTTGTTAAGTGGCTTAGCTTGTTCAGTATTCATCAGTCAGGTCTCAAGCTTCATCTTCACAATGCACAGCTAGGAAATATTTTCTCCAGCATTCTCTTGTTCGTATCAAAGAAAACGGCACATCTTTCATGCTTGATTTTTTTTCACTTTTTGGTATTCTGTCTTGCAGTGTCATAGAAAGGTAATGGTAAATAAATACTGAAGAGGAGAAGCAACACTGGTGCCCACAGTTTCTAAAGAGTAAGTTTTTTTTAGCCAACATTAGATGTGCAAAATATTGAGCTCAATAGACTCCATACAAATACAAGCCACACTGTAAAATGTCGAAAACAATCTATTAGTTAAAGATCTGATGTTACACAAAACTGACTTATGTGAGCTTTTAGTCTTGCTGCAGTGCTGTTACTTCATCAAAAACGTACCCGAAGCTGTGTTTTGCTTCATTCACACATGTCTGAGTAATCCTTTATTATTAGTCTGTCTACATCTCTAAAGCTCAAAATCCTCATGAAGCAGTAGTTTTCAAGTTAACAGCTACCATTTACCTTTTGTTCAGTAGAGATAGGTAATTCCATGACTGACAGTATCTAAATGATTCTAGTGAAGGTGTGTGGAGTTTAAAAACACAGTGGAGTGCAAAAAATAGGCCCTATAATTAAAATGAATGATTGACTGATAAATATGCTCAATACTTATTACACACTCACATTTGCCATGACAAAATAGCTTCTAGAAATAGAATTATAATCGAAATCAATCTCACGTGTTTGTATTGAACCGATTCCAAATTCACCTGAGGCACATAGTCACGGTGCACTGACTGTATTATATTTTGATTCAAAGAAAGTGCCTCTTCGAAACCCACGATTCAAAGCCCAGGTGGAGTTTTTGATTGAAGAATGGATTCCTTGAGCCAGTTAATCTGTAGTTAGTTTTTATGGATTGAGTTTACGCAACTCCAGCTCATGAATACCCCGCACTCCCACGGCTCGTCTCATACATAGTCATAACTTGTGTTCGTCCCCGACTTCGACTATTCGTCCCCCACACAGAAGCATGGTTTGAGCAGTAAAGTGGTTCTCATTTCCATACATGCCTGTGCCACATACAATATACCCATTCTTGTGCATACACGCTTCCAGAAAGTTTGAAGACACCGCTTGTTTGATTTCCCCATAGAAAATAAGATTAATTTAACATTTCAAAACACACTCGCACTTCAAAAGACTTTAAACATGTCAGCATAAGGGGATCTTTGACTTTTGTGAAGTAAAAATTATGTTTTTAATCCACATTTGATGTTGGCTGTTGGGTAACAAGTCTTTCATCTTTACGGCCCAGAGTTACTGATGGCTTTGACAGATAAGCATTGGATTTTATTAAAGGGGGGATGGGATATTGTTTTGAAAATGCTATATTTGCTGAAAACAATATATTCAAAACATTTAATTAGTTTCGGTTTTACCTCGGGGGAGGCAGTAGCTCAGTTGGTAGAGCACACTGATCTGAAGGTTGGTGGTTCGATTCCAGCTCTC